GAAAGAATAATTAATATTGGAATATGGAACAGTATATGACAATAAAAGGTATAAAACAAAAATTATATACGAAATGATTCAATATTAGACTTACATTAATTCCAAAAACATTAAATCGTCTTGTTCTCGACAGCTCTTCTACCAGGGTATTCACTTGGTGTTCCTTCCGTAGATTTGGATTGGAATCCACCTTAAGTTCTTCCTTGTTCTGCCAACGTTTCCAGATCCTACTGACTGTGTCACTTTTTATATCACGAAACACTTTTTTAACTTTTTAAAAAATTAATTTATTTTAAAAATACAATATGCAAAGTTACGTCTTACAATTTTAATTATACTGAACTTAAAACTTAAATATAATGAATGGATATACAGAGCGACAAGTGGTTTTATAATATTAGTAACTACTGACTCAGTGGGAACGTGTAAAAAGCTTGGGTCCCGCTGCTGGTACTGCATGGACAGGGATCCTATATACCAGAAACTAATTCGCGTAACAATGAACCCCCTAATCAAATTAAAACAGATCCCAGATCCAAACAAATATTGAAGTTAAAATGTCATCTGTCGAATACTGATGCAATTTTGCACAAAAAAGAAAAGAATCCCCAATGCTTTAGTATACGTAAATGAATAAGAATAAGAAATAAGATGGTAAATGAATAAGATGATCAACGAAGGTATCATCCGGCCCTCTACTCCTTGGTCATCTTCTGTTTGGGTCGGTCCCAAAAAGTGAACTCTTCTGCAGAACAAACATGGCGAGTAGTAATAGACTACCGCAAGCTCAACGAATGTACCATTGACAATAAATACCCTCTTTCTAATATCTCCGATCTCTTAGACCAGCTTGACAAGTGCCAATATTTCACAACTCTCGATCTTGCCTCCGAGTTTCATCAGATTGAAATTGCTGGCATCGCATAATCCATGAATTTAGATATCAACTGGATTTGGTATTGTAATATACCGAGAAAATTTTAAATGTTCGATAAGTTTTAATTGGGCCTGAAACGACAACGATAAATCGTGAATTTCGAGCGAAAGTAATTCATTCAGGTTACTCCTGATTTCCAGCACATTTGCATAATTATTTTTGCATACGCGATAACTGGGACCAACAATCCCAGCGGATCAAACAATTTTGCAATTTGCGACAAAATAGAGCGTTTCGTTACAGTGTCGATACTTGAAATGCCCGAGCTATAAAACAGAGTATCTTCGCGAGAATTCCATTGAATTCCTAATGTCTTGATGGTGGCATATTGCCGTTCTGTTGATGCTCAGTGAAATATTTTTGTACGATTGATTTGTGCAAAATCTCGCGTATCCCCCATCAGCTCAATATCGTTACCGCGATTGGAGTTATGCGACGCTTTACTTCTAGCTCGGATCTATGCGACGCTTCAGCATTCTCTTTTATTGGAAGTCAACGGTACTTATTTTTGGTAGGACTCAACAATCACTCTTCACTGGATATACCCAGCCGTATCTTCGCACATTTGTCGCCAACCGGATTGCGGAAATACAAAGATTGACTAGTCTGTGTCATTGACAACACATTTCCTCGTTAGATAACCCGAAAGATTTTTATCGCGCGGTCAGTTATCCTCAGAATTTTTAGAAAATAATATTTGGCATATTGACAATGTGAGAAGTCTATATGAAGCGGGAAAGGCTGCAAATTTAATTCAAGAAATGAAAAGACTTGATATCGACATACTGGGATGCAGTGAGATAAGATGGCCAAATACAGGTACCTGTGTGATGGGCAACTATACAGTATTTTATTCTAGAGATGAAGGCACTCAAAATAAAAACGGTGTAGCAATACTTACATCTAATGAAATTGCAAAATTAGTTTCTGGATTACTACCAACATCAAATAGAATAATGCTAATAAAAGTAGACAGCAAACCAGTCAATATGAATATTATCCAGGTATATGCCCCAACTAGTCAAAGCACAGAAGAAGAAATAGAACAATTTTACGAAGACCTAAACAAAACTCTACTGCAGACAAAGAAGCATGAAACCAACATAATATTAGGAGACTTTAACGCCAAGATTGAAAAAGGAAGAGAAGATGACACGGTGGGGGAGTTTGGCCTCGGAATAAGAAATGAGAAGGAAGATAGACTGCTTCAGTTCTGTAAAGAAAATCGGTACAGTATAATAAACAGCTTTTTCAAGTTACCACCCAGACATCTCTACACGTGAAAATTTCCAGCAAATGGAATAGAAGCACGCATCACAAGAAATTAAATCGATTACATAATGGTCAACAAAAGATACAAAAACGCAGTAAAAGCATGCAAGATATACCCCGGAGCTGACATCCCCACCGACCACAATCTTCTTCTTGCAACAATTAGGATAAAATTTAAAAGAACAAAAAGAAATAAGCAAATAATAGCTATTAACCCAGATAAGCTTAAAGAAGAATCCACTAGTAATAAAATACGGGAAGAAATACATACGACACTTGGGTAACACAACAGTACAATCGACACAAACTCCCGAGGAAGACTGGCACTATATTGAGAAAACACTTACAAGAGTAATAGAAGACTATCTCAAACAAGATACACGAAAAAAGAACAAACCATGGATGACCGAAGAAATTCTAAACATGATGGACGAAAGAAGAAAATACAGAGGTAAAAATGAAACAACATACAAGCAAATACACAAGAATATCAGAATAAAGATCCAACAAGCCAAAGAAACCTGGCTAAGTGAAAGATGCCAAGAAATTGAAGAGTTGCGACAAAGACATAATACTTTCAATCTACATAAAAAAGTAAAAGAAGCCGATGGAATATTTAAACAAACCCCTACGTCCTTCATCGAAGATAAACATGGGAACCCGCTACTGAACATAGAAGATCAAATAGGTAGATGGAGAGAATACGTGGAAGAGATGTTTCAAGACCGAGAGAGGACGAACATTTACATGCAGGAGGCATCGACTGGACCTTATATCACAAAACAAGAAAATATCAAAACGGCAAATCAGATAAAGAACGGAAAAGCTGTTGGGGAAGATAATATCCCAATTGAAATAATAAAGATATTACTAGACGAACACATCGAAGTAATGGAAGATATATATAACAAAATATACGAAACAGGCATAATACCAAATGATTGGCTGACATCGATGTTTATACCACTACCATAAAAGAGAAACTTCAAGAAATCTGAAGACCATATAATTATTAGCCTGATGAATCATACGTTGAAGCTTTTTCTACGAGTAATACACAATAGAGTATACAATAAACTAGACGAACACACTGGTCAAACTCAGTTTGGTTTTAAGAATGGGTTCGGAACAAGAGAAGCACTTTTTTCAATACGTGTGCTAGTTGAAAGATGTAGAGATGTCGATTCTGATGTATACTTGTGTTTTATAGACTTTCAGAAGGCGTTTGACGCCTTAATAGATATTTTAAGGTCATGTAATATCGACGATAAAGACAAGAATCATTTCAAACCTCTACCAAGAACAAAAGGCTAAAATCGGAATAAAAAACGAAACATCTGGAAAAATCAATATCGAGAAGGAGTAAGACAGGGATGTGTCCTATCACCTTTGCTGTTCAATGTTTACTCTGAGAAGATATTTCAGAAAGCTTTGGAAGGCACCTCGGATGGTATAATTATAAACGGGCAATGTATAAATAACCTGCGATATGCTGATGACACTGTCATACTGGCAGATAATGCTGAAGCCCTGCAACGCTTAATGGACCGAGTAACGACAGCCTGTAGAGAATTTAGAATGAAATTGAATACAAAGAAGACAAAAACGATGGTCATCAGCAAGCACCAAAACAGAAGGGTGAAGGTCAATGTCGACGGAACAGATCTGGAAAGAGTAACAAGAACAACGTACCTTGGAAGTAATCTTGATGAAACTTGGCACCACTCACTAGAGATAAGAATACGCCTGGAAAAGGCACGTACAATGTTTTACAAAATGCAAAAAGTTCTATGCAACCGCCAGCTGGGCATCTCATTGAGAACTAGAATACTTAAGTGCTATGTTTTCTCCACCTTGCTCTATGGTGTTGAAGCCTGGACAATGACAGAAGCAACACAAAAAAGAATCCAAGCATTCGAACTCTGGTGTTACCTTAAAATGCTCAGAATATCCTACATGAGCCATACGAGAAATGCGGAAGTCTTGCGGAGGATGAATAAGTAAAGAGAACTTATGCTTATAATAAAAGAATGGAAAACACAATATTTTTGTTTTAACGCCAAGTTGAAGATTCCAGGCCAAATGCTCAAGAGTTGGTCGATTCGCAATCTTTAATAATTAAGATGATACAATTCTCGGAATTTTCAAAAGAAATTATTTCTTTAAAAACAAGGATCTCGTTTTTGGTAAAGATAAATAAATTGGTGCCTTTGAGACAATTCCTAGATAACAACAGAATCTTAAGAGTTGGTGGTATGAAATCGAATGAAAACAGTTTCATTTGAAAAACTGCAAACATTTGATAGATTTTGGGATTTTAACTGCTTGTTACCTCGCCTACATATTCTAGCTGAGGGTCCAATACATAACATAAAAATTAATAAAATATATAATGATTTAGTCGATTATCAGAGAAGTCTTCTTATATATCTAAATCGTATATTTTTTCAGAAAATAATAACATATTTTATGTACTTTATCAACACATTATAAACTGTAAACTTAAGTTGTAAAATTACTAACCAAAATAAAAAAGTATGTATAATGCAGATGTGGTTTCGCACTTGGACAGTCCATAGCCAATTAGCTTTCGAATTAAATAAAGAGCTGCATAAGAGTTTGCTATTGAACTTTGAACTTGTAACAAGTGATGATACTTCACAAATCTAACAAAGTATGGCTAATTTATCATAACTAAAGCATTTTTTACCAAAAAAAAATAAATAACGAGGAAATATAATACTTATTTTCTTACTTTGTACATGGTTCTCCACATAATTTGTTACATTTACTATGTTTACACCGGTAACTACATGGTTGTTTGCACGGTTGACAGGCTTCTCTGCAGGGTATAGTGCATTCGTGGTTACAAACCAATGGGACTCCACATTTTTCTGCACATTTTTGATGGAAACGTCCTTGAAAACAATCCCCACAAGTACCACTACAATTGTGTTTACATGCAAGTTTAATGTTACAGGGCTCTGAACATCGAGCTAGCAATATCTTTGGATCATCTGAAAATAATCATATTTATATATATATATATATATATATATATATTATATATATATATATATAAATCCAGTTGGATATTATTAATTGACACGTTGTGCAATCTGAAGTTTTATCTGAGATTGTAGTCATTACTAGGGCAGGAAGTCTTTGTTATTATTTAGATTTCGCAAAATTTACATAATATGCTAAAATAAGTGTAATTATTGTATCAGTAAATACAATGAAATTAAAATGAAACAAACGGATATTAATATTTTTCTTTAAAAATTTTGTAATTAGGTAATTTTAAAAATTTTTTTAATATAATTTTTTAAATCATGAATAATGGGAGGGTATATTAATCAATTTTCATTAAAAACTTTCCATTTGTAAATACTTACTGTATAAACGATTATAAAATTTCTACAATAAACTTTTTCTTATTTTAATTAGTTTTATTTAATGTTACTTAACTGTACTTAATTTTATATAATTTTATTAATTAATATTAATAATTTTATTAATTAATAATTATTAATAATAATTTTATTTATATTTTATTTTATAGAATTTAATTTTTTAAATTTTGTTTAATTTTATCTAATTTTTACTTAATTCTACTTAATTTTACTTAATGTTGCTTAATTTAATTAAATTTTACATTTTTTAAATTTTGTATAATTTTATTTAATTTTATATAATTCTATTTTATTTTTTCATTTTATTGCATTATATTTAATTTATTTTGTTATTAAGTTGTTCTCGAGTTGTTTAGAAAAATATATTATGTTACATTAAAATAAGTGTATATGAATGTTTTGTATAATTAGGGTATACCGCAAGGATACTGCACGCATCTCGATTTTTCGAGTCACGCTAAATAGGATTTCGTGCCAGTGCAAAGACATCATACCGACCGATAAGAAGTATTCTCTTCAAAACACTTAATTATTGCTTACGTAATGCTACTAAATCAAACGAACACTATATCCTTAACACATATTAATGAATTTTGATGGCAAAATATGATATTAATGTTGGACATAAATCGTCAAAAACATCCGGAAATTTTTTTCCAAAATTTAAACCCAATGTTAATAAATCATCAGTTGGATGTTATTTATAAAATAAATTCTAAAGATTGTAAAATTATAATTCAACATATATTGGGCAAATACACAAATATCTGCATAAAAGGGTTGTTGCACAAAAACATAGTGCACAAACCAACAATTTAAACACAACAGCCCTAGCGAAGCATTCTCTAGAAAATAGACATTCTTTTGATTTTGAAAATGTACAGATTTTGGAAAAAGAAAAAACTACAACAAAAGATGCCTTATTGGAGATGATTCACATAAGACAAGACTGACAGATACAATTTTTCCAATCCATGTTAAACTGTCAAAAAGTGCAAACATAAAATAAAATTCATAATCCATAAAAGAGACAGAGAGACAGAAAGAGAGAGAGAAAGAGACAGAGAGAAACAGAGAGACAGAGAGAGAGACAGAGGGAAAGAGACTGAGGGAGAGAGACTGAGGGAGAGAGACAAAGAGAGAGAGAGAGAGAGACAGAGAAAAAGAGAGAGACAGAGAGAGAGGGAGAGAAATGTGTTGTTTTTAAAATGAGTTTACATTGATAAAACACAACATGGTATAGTACAAACAAGGCACAAGATACATTAAAATACTAATTATAAAATTTTCATAATTAAAAAAAATATATCAATTAGCGCAACTGTCCTCAAAAAATTCTTCTATACTATAGTAACAGTGAGATAATAAAAACGTCTTGATTGCTCTTCGAAATACAAAAATATTGATTGAGGATCTTATATTAGGATTAAACACTTTCTTACCAGTGTAAATAAATGATTTTTTCATTAAAGTAGAAGAGGGAATTGGAAGTGGAATAACATAATTTAGACGAGTGTTATAAGGGAATCATATAGACATAGAGGATAATGTCTGAATATCCTCTATGTTTTTAAAAATTAAGCACGCTAATTAAAGGATATACACGCAAGGAAGTGTCAAGATATCATGTTTCTGGAACGGAGACCTGCATGATGTACCAAACTTGAGCTTACAAAAATATCTTAGAGTGCTCTCTTTTGTAGCATAAAATTTCTACTGAAATGATGAAGAGAACCTCAAAAGGCAATACCGTATCTCAAATTAGATTCGATCAGAGCCACATAAACACTTATTGCAATCTTGAGATCTAAATGGTGAGCAACTGATTTGACCGTAAAGCAATCCGATGATATCTCTTTGCTTAAATATACAGTGTGTTGCTCAAATTTAAGTTTATTACCAATATAGAGATCTAAAAATTTGTTTACGGTGTCAGAAAAAATGCCTTCATTGTCCAGAGTAATGTTTAGATTATTCTTAAAAGAAATTAATTTAGTTTTTGAAAAATTAAATGTCAAATGATTAGGTTTGCACCACTCTGTTTAGCATATCAGCTTAGAGTCATGTTGTTCTTGTACCTTAGAGTACGAAGGCCATACATTTAGAATTAGTGACAGAACTGTCTAAGGAATAATTTCTGTTGGTCTTTAAAGATTTATTGCGCGAAGAGGTAAGCCTCAAAAGATGGTTTCCGATAATGATACCAATTTTATAGCAGCTAGCAGCACACTCCCGCGATAAGAGAATCCTTGCTAAAGGATAATATTTCGTGGCCTTTTATACCTCCATATTCTCCACATTTCGGCGGACTGTAAGAAAGCGGAGTAAGAACGGTTAAGCATTATTTTTAAGAGTTTTGAGAGTTTAGAGTTTTGGGAAAACTCACTTAACACTCGAGGAATTTTATTCGTTACTTGTGCAAATTGAAGCTATTGTTACGATAATTATGGCGTTTATAACTATCAATATATTATGACTAATTCTGTTTTCTGTTCCAGTAAATTCGAAGTTGTTTACAGAAACCTTTAGACCCTAATTTTATGAGTAATCCACGTCTCGAGGCTTTTCAAACAGTTGAAAAACGAGTCGAGCGCCTTCACCAAAATACGAGATTATTCAAGAAGTTCGCCGAATTTTCGAGATGACAACAGTTGTGTATATAAACTAAAGATTTTTTATTTGGCAGCAGTCATAAGAAGATCGGGAAACGCGATTTACTTGTAACGAAACGTAACCAATAAATTTGTATTTAATAAGCTATTTAATAAATTAGTAATTACTTATCGTGAGTTTTAATAAATTAGAATACAGACAATAAATTAGAATAAAGACAAATAAATTAGAACAATATAAATATACAACAGTGGTGTACAGGAGTGGGGTTGTAGATAAATTTAATTTGAATTTTTGAAAAGAAGTGAAATTGGTGAACGATGGCTACGATTTACGAGCTCACAGTTACGAATCTAGGAAGGCATCTTGAGGATAGAGAATTAGCTTCTACCGGAAAAAAGGCTGAGTTAGTCCAACGACTAAAGAATGCTTTGGAGGAAGAGGGTTTAGATCCGGAAACTTATATATTTGAAGATGCTGTCATCGCGTCAATTTCAAAATTAGAGAATAAAGTTTCTGGTGACATCGCATCATTAGAGAACAGAGTTCATGGCGATATTTCGAAAGTTTCCTCTGATGTAGCCAAAGTTTGTGGCGACATCGCCTCTTTAGAAGACAAAGTGTCTAACGAGATTTCTTCTCTAGAAAGCAAAGTCTCTGCTAACATCTCCTTGGAAATCTCTAAAGTCACTTCGGAGATGTCTGCTCTCGACGACAGAGTGTCTTTATTAAAAAACCAAGTTGCTGCCGATATGATGGCCTTCGAAGAGAAGATATGGAAAGAGTTGGAAAGGAAGATTGAGGGAACAGGAACAACAGAGAGAGTAAACAATCCAATTACCATAGAGACAAAAGAAGACGAGACGAAATGTAAGTTGGAAACACGGCCGAAATTTGAAGGAAGTGAAAGTTCCGTTCATGTCAAAGTCCCAACTTTCGACGGAAAATCATCATGGAACAACTACATGAAACAGTTCGAATCAGCTGCAAGAGCGAATGGATGGTCTGAAAAAGAAAAGGCTGTAAACCTGACTATCGCTCTTCGAGGAGATGCCTTAGATGTGCTCCAGACCATAGCAGTAGAGGAGACGGATGATTTCGAACAACTGAAGAAGAGGTTAAATATGCGATATGGCCACGAACACTTGGAGCATGTATATCAGTCGCAGCTCAAAAATCGAAGACAAAAGAAAGATGAGGCTCTTCAAGAATATGAAGTAGATATCGCCAGATTAGTGCGATATGCTTATCCAACAGCTCCCGAAGACATGATGGAAAAGTTGGCCGTTCAAACGCTTATTGATGGTCTTCGTGATCATGAGATGCAAAGAACACTACGATTAGCTCGTCACAAGACGCTGGTTGATGTCTTATCCGCCGCTCTTGAATACGAGTCAGCCACGCAGGCCTCTGGCGGGTACAGTAAAGTTAGGACTGTAAAAGAGGAAGGAGATGAAGATAAACTTGACCAGCTCGTTAATATGATAAAAAGCATGACATACAAGAAACCGAAGACCATAATATGCTGGAATTGTGGCGAAATAGGACACGTACGAAGTTCTTGTAAGCATCCTAGGTACGACGCAAATCAAGAAACTCACCATCAGGAAAACTAGAACGGGTCGGCCTTAGGGGGGCAGCTTCGACCCAGAACTTTTCCAAAGACCCTCTCATACTGATAGCTTCTTTGAAATGTCGTGAAGATAGTGTATATGTAGATGGAGAAATAAATGGTAAAAAGCACACGTTGTTGGTGGATACCGGAGCGACAAGAACCATTATTCGCCCGACAGTTATAAACAGCCGTAAGAAACTGTTACCAACGAGGTTGCGACTTCGGACCGCTACAGGTGAAAATGCCAACATTCACGGAGAAATCCAGATACAATTAGGAATTGGAGCAGAAAAGTTCGTCCATACTGTTATAGTTGCTGACTTTGAAGAGGATGTTATATTAGGAATGGACGTAATGAATACGCATGGATTCC